CAATGTTTGAAAACTGTTGTTGACCACAAGGATAGTTGGTTGTGGCATTTGAGGTTTGGACATTTGAGTTTTCGATCACTTAATCAACTGATTACTTAAGATATGGTTACTGGTATTCCAAGTCTTGAGATTCCTGAAAAACTTTGTGAAGGTTGTTTAGTGGGAAAGCAATCCAGAAATTCTTTCGTTTCGACTATGCCAATGAGATCATCCTGCATTCTCGAAGTGGTACATTTAGATGTATGTGGTCCATTTGAAGAACATACAATTGGTGGAAACATATATTTTGTTTCATTTGTCGATGAGTTTAGTCAAAAGTTGTGGATCTATATGATCACACGAAAGGACGAAGTATTCGAAATCTTTAAGAGATTCAAGATACTTGTCAAAAACCAGAGTGAGAAGAAGATCAAAGTTCTGCGAACAGATGGAGGTGGCGAATACACATCCAAGATGTTTAAAGATTTCTATGCAGAACATGGTGTTGATCATGAGGTAACTGCTCCTTACACACCTCAACATAATGGAATTGCTGAAAGAAGAAATAGAACCATATTAGATATAGCGAGATGCATGCTGAAGAAAAAGAATTTGGCAAAGTCTTTATGGGGGGAAGCTGTTTCTACTGAAGTTTATATTTTGAATAAGTTTCCTACTAAGATATTGAAGAACAAGGTTCCTGAAGAAGTGTGGAGTGACAAACGACCATCAGTAAGTCACTTGAAGGTGTTTGGCTCTATGTGTTACAAGCATGTTCCTGTTGCAAGGAGAAGAAAGCTTGATGACAAGAGTGAACCTATGATTCTGGTAAGATATCATAAAATTGGTGCATATAGACTATTCAATCCAGTTAATGAGAAGATTGTGTTGAGTCGAGATATTGTGATTAATGAAAATTCTGCCTGGGATTGGAATTCTAGCAATTCAATTAACAAATCATTAATGAACTTTGATTTCGACGAAGAAACTAATGAAGTAGAAGTCGAAGGAATTGTTGAGAATCCAGTCGAAGTCGAAGAAGAAGTGGTTGCTAACACTCCCATCACAGTCGAAGTTGAAGAGGTTATGGCTGAAACAAGCCAAATACCTCAAAGAAATAGAGTTCTTCCAACAAGACTTCATGATTATGAAGTGGTAGGTGATGATGAAATCACATCAGATGGAGAATTAGTTCATTTTGCTTTACTTGCAGGTGCTGAACCAATAAACTATAACGAAGCTTTAAATATTAACAAGCGGAAGTTAGCTATGGTCAAAGCGTTACAGGCAATCGAAAGAAATAACACATGGGAGTTAGTCGAATTTCCAGCACATACAAAAGCTATCAAAGTAAAGTGGGTGTTCAAGTTGAAACACAATGCAGATGGGTCAATAGCAAGACATAAAAGAAATATTAGTAGCTCGAGGTTTTATTCAAAGAGCAGGACTTGACTACTCTGAAGTATTTACTCCAGTAGCAAGATTAGACATTGTTCAACTAGTAGTAGCATTGGCATACAACCAAGGCTGGTCAACATTCCATCTAGATGTGAAATCAGCATTTCTGAATGGTCCTTTAGACGAAGAAGTTTATGTCACACAACCTCCTGGGTTTGTGATTCAGAAGGAAGCGAGTAAAGTATATAGATTGCACAAAGCGCTTTGTGGCCTCAAGCAGGCACCTAGGGCATAGAACAAGAAGATCGACTCATACTTAGTTGAATTGGGATTTGTCAAATGCAAATCAGAGTATGGTGTCTATGTTCAGGTTGTAGCACAAGATATAACAATTATATGCTTGTATGTTGATGACTTGCTAGTAACTGGAAATAGTTTGGAGACCTTGTCAAAGTTCAAAGAGATGATGAGGAAGGAATTTGAAATGTCGGATCTAGGAAAATTGTCTTATTTTCTAGGCATGGAATTTCAAATGTCGAAGCAAGGTATGGTGCTACATCAAAGAAAGTATGTCAAAGAGATACTCAAGAGATTCATAATGGATGGTTCGAATCATGCATCCTCACCTGTCGAACCAAATCTGAAGTTGGAGAAGAATGGAGAGGAAGACAAAGTCGATGCAACTTTGTTCAAGAAAATTGTGGGATCTCTGAGGTATGTGTGCAACAGTCGACCTGATATAGGTTTCTCATTCGGATTAGTAAGAAGATATATGGGTGAACCAAGATTATCACATATGAAGGCTACAAGAATAATCCTGAGATATTTGAAGGGTTCAATAAATTGTGGAATAGTATTTCGACGAGATTCTGAAGGCAACGAAGCAATAGTTAATTGTTTTCCAGATGTTGATTGGTGTGGAGATAAGGAAAATCGAAGAAGCACAATTGGATATTTCTTTCAAGTATTTGGTGCCCCAATCTCATGGTGTTCGAAGGAGCAACCTGTGGTGGCATTGCCATTGTGTGAAGCTGAATATATAGCAGGATCCTATGTTGCATGTCAAGAAATTTGGATCAGAACTGTACTTGAAGAAATGACTGTCGAAGTAAAGAAACCTCTAGTATTGCAAATCGACAACAAGTCATCCATAAATCTGGCGAAGAATCCAGTTCTACATGAAAGAAGTAAACATATTGAAGCAAGATTTCACTTCTTGAGGGAAAAAGCAAATCAAGGTGAACTTGAAGTTAGGCATTGCTCAAGTGAAGCACAGTTGGCTGACATTTTCACCAAAGGATTGAAGATCGACAAATTCCTGAATTTGAGAAAGAAATTAGAAATAGTTCAGATTGACTATTTTTGAGGATGTTCGACAACTTGGATTATGGGGGTGCGTTGAAATATTAAATTAGATTAAATTAGATTTCATTAGATTTAATATTTAATATAATCCAAGTTATGTTAGCCCAAGCCTAGGATTGTATATAAATAGTCATAGTGTGTATCATTATTTGTACACTTGAATAATACAAATTCTTATTTCCTTTATTATTCTCTCTTTCTCTCCTCACTAAAAGTGTCTCGCGCACTAACAAGGGTAACTAAGACTTTTTTCTGATATCCAAAGTTTGCTTTAATTTTGTCCCACAAAATCTTGGGATCTTTAGCATTTGAGTATTATGTTTTCAATCCATCATCAAGATGGTGCTTGATTATTCTATTCACTTTTGATTTTCTCTTTTCCATCTCATCTGGGTCGTCTATTGATTTTCTAGAATTGTCTCCTTTAAGTATTTTGTTAAGTCCCTCACATATAAGGTACTCAATTAGATTGTTGTTTCAGGTTATGAAGTTGTCCCCAATTATACTTAGAATTTTGAATTGATGTTTAAGATTTGACATGATTATATCTAGTGTAGTAAAAATTTCCGATAGAAACGATCGTACTGATAACGTGTTGAGAAAAATTAAATATTTGAATCTAACTTAGTTGAAAACTAGATATAACATTTATGATACCCAATTGAGAAAATGATGATGGAAGTGGAATGATATCTTTCTTTCTTTCAAAGTAAAATTTAGTGTGTTTTACACTTATCAAATAGATATATTTATACTAATAAAAATATTACTATTATAATTATTATTACTATTCTATCTTTGACAAATTATACATCATCAATAATTTATTATTACTATTTTAAGTTTAGCTATTAGATAGAAATTTCTAAATAATTATAATATCACTCTTCATTATTATTATAACCCGATTTATAATGTCCATTTCTTTTCAAATACGTACGGAAAGCTTTTTGGACGTGGGTCCCATTTAAAGTATAATATTCTCTTTCCCCTCTAGCATTCATCAAAATGAAGGAAGCTCATCTTCCAATAAACTTTCCATCCTCTATACTTTTCATCCACTTGATTTCTCTTAAAACAAATGTGGAAGAGTACTTCTAATACGTTAATAATTCTTTTGAAAACAGTCAAAACAAAATATTGGGATCCTTAAAACATGTGGGAGATAGAAAGAGAGTTTCACTTTTTATGTGTCATGTCTGTGGTCCTTACAAACTATCCACTCTGAATGTTTGTTACATTCCGTAAGTAAAGCTAATTCCTCATTGGTTCGATGAACATTAAAAACAAAGTATGAAGTATACTTTAGGAAATTAAGCATTATAAGCGGTTGAATCTTGATCGCACCGTTTAAAAAAAGCAACAGATTTATTTTTATTTTATAGTTTTAAAATTACTATTTTTAAATCATAACTGTTTGATTTCAATCAGACGGATTTCATGGTTTGAATGCGTGTGTTTTGACTTTGACTGCAGTGAATCACCATCCTTTCAGAAAATTGAAAACTTAAAAATCACTACTAGATGATTGAGGAATAAAATGGTGATTCATTTTTTGAATAATAATTAAAAGTTTGATCATCAGGTCCTATTCCCAAATGCAAATATTTCCCATTGATTGAGCTTTACTAATAGTATTTAGTATTTACAATGAATATTCAGTGTTTGAAAAAAAAAAAACTAACAAAACACAGCGGTACCATATATAAACGCAACTACAATTTGTTGCTTCAGAACACTTATGCGAGAAAACACAACCAACCCAACGCGCATCCAATGCGAAAAAGCTACAGGTGTTTCCTGATCAGAAATGAATGTGATGGAAACTTTGCAAGTAGTTTATGTAAAAAGTTGTTCTGACAGGAATATTATGGTGTGACAAATGATGTTCATCATACACATACATAAATAAGGTAGCATTTTGAAAAGAACAATATGGTGACAAATGATGCTCATACACAAGCATACTGAAGGTAACATTTTGAGAAAAAACATTATGGTGTGACAAATGATCCTCATTATTGTTGGTATTCTGATCACCGACAAGTCACAGAAATACTTCAGATAAATCATAGGACAATGCTTATAAAGATATATCACAGACAAGGTGATAATGTAACTGGTTTAGATCAAGAATTACACGACTTGCTTCAATTGCAAGTATTGCTGCCAAAGATAAATAGGAACTGTGCAGTGATAAACTCTTACTTATAAAGATGCATTGCTCTAATATTTTACAAACACGGTCGAAAATGTTGTCAGTGTTTACAGTTGTTGCAATAATGGCTGCTATGATTTTGGTGACGAGCTCCACAGTTGTAACAGAAGGCAATTCCACACCTGCAAGTCAAAATGGAACCAGATAAATCGACTTGAATCATATGCATGAATTCTGTGCTTTCGACATAAAAGAAAGTAGTGAAAGGGGCAGATAATAAACTAACCGAAAACAATAATCTCTGACAGAGAATTCCCTAGTAATAAAAGATACATGAACTTTGCCATGACTCATGACATGTGAAGGAAATAAATGGGAAAAAAGAAGAAAGTGAAATAAATGAGTATTTTATGTATTTGAGTATTGTTCGCCCAACATCGAATTTTCGGATTCGTCATTGAGCACATGAAAACGAAGCCAACATTTAGTGTCAAAGCTTTAATATCTCTAAAAAAGGGGATTTGTTAAATATAATAGAAAAGAAGTATTTATCTTAACTATCAATCAGTAAGTTGCAGAAGATCCCCAACAGAATTTTACAAAAAAAGTATGCAATCAAGAAATTTGATCGCGACATCAAAGATATTATGTCGTGTGACTATAGCTCAATAGGGATTGAGGTTCCATTTGACCGCAATTCTCCGAAATACTAAGCAGTGTTGTCAATTGCAGAAAGCAAATTGTTAAATTCATCTATGCAGTAGTGCTATAATGCCGCTGTAGTGGCTATTGACAACATTTTGTACTAACTAGACAATAGCGGTTTTTCTGAATTCCACTATGCTAATAGTGGTATAACGCCGCCATAGCGGCTATTTAACGATGATATCAAGGACTGCAATACAACCAGTCCACAATTTAAAAACTTTCTGCCAGACACAAAGTTAGAAGCATCCATCAAATCGAGACCTTGAACAAAATTGCTGGGGGGATATCCTCTACTAAAAACGACAAACTACCCACAATCTATGCCGTACAATGTTGTCAATCGCATATCGCGGGAAATAGTAGTTTGTTTAAATCCACCACATCGACGGGAAATAGCCGTTTATTTAAGTCCGCCACATCGCGGGAAATAGCCGTTTCTTTAAATTCGCCACATCGCTGGAAATAGCCGTTTCTTTAAATCCGCCACATCGCTGGAAATAGCCGTTTCTTTAAATCCGCCACATCGCTGGAAATAGCCGTTTCTTTAAATCCGTGATGCTACAGAGCTATACACATACAGCTAAACAACCACTATACAACTTACGGCAATGCTTTATATTAAGTAGCATATCACGTAACAACAACAACTTATTCAAATTCCGCTACACAATACCGCTATAACGCCACTATTGTCGCTACTTGACAACATTGATGCCATAAATGGCCCTTTTTAATGAGTTGTACAGAATTTGACAAACCCAAAACAGAGTATAAACAATGAATTACCCTCCCTTACCACAAGATACTTTGAATGCCCTTCCTCCTAAACCAAATGTTTTCTATTATCCAATAAAATAAACATCCAATTAAGATTAATACATTCACATACATTTCATCAAATTATCATATGGTTGTATTTCTATCATCAACTAATTATCACACACAAAGTTTAACATAACCCTTAGCATAATAGTTCCATTTTCAAAAAATATGAAGCATTGACACTGCCACATTTACAGCATAATACAAGAATAATACAAGCATAATACAAGACAATGATGCTAATACTGAAAATCAGATATTGGTAAATAACGTAAGAGAATAACCTGCATTTCATGAACAAGCAACCTTCCGATTTGGCAACATAAAACCTACAATTAGGGCATCTCCTCCAATTCATATCCTTGGCGAGCTTCATCAGCATAACATCATCCTTCCCTCTCTCGTCCGCATTCAGCTTCTGAAACTCAGTGCATTCAATCCCATCATGCCACGGAACCTTACATTGTGCACAAAATATCTTCCTACAATTCGGACACTCCGAATTCCTAACAGCCTCCGTCCCATCATTGATCAAAAGAGCAGAACAATCCGCATACGGACAATAGAATTTCTCCGATACATCAAACAACGCCTCGCACGTCGCCTTCCCCCACCGATCAAAAACCTCCACCGGAAGAATCGAACGACAATCCTCAGCTTCCAACAAACCACTGCATCCAGAAACAGGACACCTGACGTTGATCACATTATCCTCCAGCTTCGAACTCACGTACAAAGCGACGCAACCAGAACAGTAAGCATGCGAACAACCGCTGATGAAGAAAGCATCCTTCGCGGTTTTCGTTTCCGTGCAAATTTCGCAGATAAACGGCACGACGTTTGTGTTAGCATTAGCAGACGAAGACTCGCCTTTTTCCACGTTGATCCTTTTTCGTTTTCGTAAAGGATTAAATTTGGGAACGAAATTGAGAATTCTGAGTTCGTCGTCGTCTTCGCCGTCGGAAAGGTCGATGACGACGGGGGTGGAGGTTTTGGCGGTGGTCGGAGGGAGATGAAATGATTCGACGTCGATTACTTCTGCCGTTGATGGGGGAACGACGGTTGTTGTTGTCGTTTTCATGGTGATTTGAATTGAAGTAGGGTGTTGAATTGATGGTTTGTGATTGAAATGGTTATACACTACACTGTCACTTTTCTTACTCTTGAAGACTCGTTTGGAAATCATGCTATTTATTGTATTATTTTAAACTATTGGCTTGCTCTATGAAATTATAAAATTTGGGCCATTTTAGGTCTTGAAATTCAAATTGTAAATGTTATTTCAATTTTTATAATTTTCTCTTTTTCATTGGAGTTGGGTTCTACTTGGACTTCACCGTGGTAAAGGGGGTGAAATTAAATGAAATACAATAGAGATTATATTCTATTGTTTGAATATTTTAAAATGAGATATTATATGAATTTTTTATTTCATTTAAATCCAAGGAAAAGAAAAATGGTGGGTGATAAATGATGAGATGAAATTGAATATAAATTATCCTTTTTTTTTTTTAGGATTGAAATCATCAAGAATATTGAGAGAGAGGTGTGTTTGGGTTTCGCTCAAATTCAATTTTAAATAAATAATAAAATTTTATTCTATCTCACCTCTTAATAACCGAAAACACCTTATCAAAAAGAGTTAAGGGCATTCAAAGTCCAAATATTTGAGTACATATGCATGGAAGTCATATTATGTTAATCGTAATCGATTTTCTTTCTAAGGGGATTTTTATTTTCAACTATGAAGAACCCTCATGTTCCACCTTGACTAGTAGATCTAAAAATTGGATAGCAAAAATCATTGATCCACAAACCATGTTGCTGGTAATCATATTTGTATGAAAGAATGAGAGAGTGTTGAGATGAGAGGAAGATTAAAGTTTTGAAAGGAAAATGACAAATAAGAAACGAGTTTAAGATGAGAATTTATTGTCTTCAAGAATGGAAAAGTAGATCGAGATGGAGATAATAGGAAATTTCGAGAAATCTTACCTCATGAAGACTGAGTGGCCGACGAAAGCAAAAGAGAGTGGTTTTTTTCAACTCTCTCCAACCAACACCAAAATATCAACCCATGTCGCCTTTGACATATCTGATGGAGAAGACAACGACGAAGTAAGAATACTGGATTTCGTTCCAAAATCAACCCTTTGAAAAAATGTCAAAGATTAATGTTGAAAAAGAAAAGCCTTCATCAACGAATTATTACGTCGTGTCGTTTATTTGTGAAATGTGCACGAAAAAGAAAAGTGAAAACGACACTTTCCTCGTCTGCTGTTGTTCATATGCTTATTGCGCTGACTGTGTGGCTTTGTACGTCAGTTCGAAGCTTGAAGATAATGTGATCAACATGAGGTGTCCTGTTTCTGAATGCAATTATTTGTTGGAGGCTAAGGATTGTCTAAATATGAATTTATATTGCAAAGGTGAATTCAAACTTCTAGAAACTTACTCTGTAATGTAGCATTTATTATCGTTGGTTACATCAATAACTCATGTTTAATTAACCTTTTTATTTATTAAATCAAAATTCATGTGAATAGACACTTCTAGAAACTTACTTTGCAATGATAATAATTATTACCGTTGAATTCTTCAACAAATCATGTTTAATTAGCCTTTTTATTATTTTATCTAAAATATATTGAATACAAGCTTCTAGAAACTTATTTTGTCGAGAATTATTATATTTATCAAAACACATAAAGATTTGAACCAATTTCAAATAACGTGTGAGAACTTTGGGAAATTGAGAAAGGTGTTATGAAATGATTTAAACATCATCAAAGTGTTTCTCAGATTTTATAGAAAACAACTTTGAATAATTTAGACCTAATTTTCTCCTAGAAGGCCTTGAATCAATTCATCCATATATTAAATTTATTCAACATTGTTCTTGTGAAACATTTTGAAATACTTGAATTGGTTTAAGTCTTCTTTGAATCAATTCATCATGTTAAAAATCATATTCTTAAGTGAGTTTCATGTTTTATTTCTCACAACCATAAACTCTTTTACCCTATTTTTCAAAACAAAATAACATTCAATATTTAACAATTCTCTTTCTTCATTATAAGTTCTCTCAGACTAAGATCTTTATTCACTTAAGTTCTCAGAGGGTATAGTAAAATAAAAAGATCCATGTCCTTTAAGATTAAGATTTTAGAGTTTAGGTAGTTCTTTGATTTCATCTATGAAGAAGCTTACACCACTGAAGATTACAATCTCAAGGAAGAAATTTAATAGTTGATGTTAAAGCTTAATCAAGTTAACGATTGCGGGTCAAATTTTGAAGGAGTTAAGATTTAAGATTTTTCTAGGTTAAAGAAGATGTTGAAGGAATTTGGTTCATAATAGTTAGAATCAATGAGAGCTCATGAAATTTTGATTGTAACCTTCAAACATTAAATATTCATAAATAGAAGAAACTCTCTCATATACAATGAGGGAACAAGATGTATGCTACGAAAAAGATGAAGTATTTAAATTGTTAAATTGTAATTCGATTGTGTCGAAACAGTGTGTGTGTCGAAGGGAGGTTGTCCAGTTGAATAGCTTGTGGATCAAAGTAAGCTACACACAAATTTGATTGGTTTTAGATTTAGATAAATTTGATTTAGATCTAAAATAGATAGATTTGATTTAGTACCAAAATAGGTATTTTGGGCTTTTATAGTTTTGGGCTTTGGCTTAGGGAGAAAGCTAACCTAAATCTATAAATAGAGGGAGTAACCCCTAATTTTATAAATTAAGTCAATTCATCGTAATCATAGAATTTGCAGTTGCAAGTGATTAATAAAGTTTTTTACAGTTTGTGGGCAGAGAAAAACTCTGCAGAAAATAATTGTCTTCTTTCTTTTCTTTTCTTTTCTCATAATTCATTGTCATTGTATGGTGATATCAATCTTGTTCATCAATATTGATAGAATCTCATCATATATATTTGGTGGATTTCCAACATCTGATATCAAGAGCTCGGTTAATCGATTCAAGGGAAGTATCAATCAAGAACGATTGAGGAAGAATAAGAATTCACGATGGCGAGTTATGGGAATGCAAATTATCCAACAACTCTACCAATTATGAAAGTAGACAACTACGAGAATTGGTGCAAACAGATGAAAGTTTTATTCAGGTGTCAAGGTCTTTGGGATCTTGTAAAGGATGGATTGGAAGCGCTTGGAGAAAATGCTTCAGAAGAAGAAAACAAGAAACACACAGTGTGATACGGTGGGAGAACTGACTTGAGGGTTTTGCGTTTTATCGCAAATGTTGCGGTTAGCAAGAGTCGTCATCGACTTTTCTTTTATCCAAATGGAAAGGTGAAAAAGCATAGGAAAGACCTTTGAGATTGTTTCTTGAGTTCGGGGGGTAGATTATGAAAAGGGAAGGTATTAGCATCCTTTTCATCCATGGTTTTCCATGGGCTCTTAGTTACTTGCTAGATCACTTGCTTTTGTTATTTGAAATTGTGTTTGGTGTGGTTTTGAAAGTATTTTGTAAAAGAGGCCATTGTTTAGGCAATCTTTGTAATGATTATCGTTCGTAAGAATGTATACAAAGATGTTAGTCTTTTTTTGAAAATGTTTTCAATGTTTATAAGATGTTTTTGAAATGTGTGTGTTTGTTTTGAAAAATAGCAAGGATAGTTGTTTGAAAATAGAGCAAGTAACTAGAAGTAATCTACCTACTTAAATGTCTTTCTTGTTCATTTTCTATTCCTTTGACATTGTTGTCTTACCATTGATTTGGTAAGCAACCCTATCTTTGGATGTAAACGGGATAGGCGCGGGTCATCGTATAACCATGATTAGCAATGTTGCAAAGTATCTTAGCATTTTGAGGGACCAAGATCATTTTGTAAGGCAACTTAGAATAGCGTCATAGAGGGACTATGATCTTGTATTTGTTTGTTTTGCCAAGATATTTCACATGCGTAATATGGCTATTTTTTGTATAAGGCAACCAAGTGGAGAAACCCTAAGGATGCTCGTGTGCAAGTGTGTTATTTTCATGCTTGATTTTGTCTTGGATTAGGTTTTTCTATTTAATTTGTTTTGATCTTGCCATACAAACCCTAATTACTAGCATGATATATAAAAGTGGTAAATTGCGTAATTTAAAGATTACTACGCTATTACAACATTTTATGGGAGTGGGGAATACAAATTGTGAATGGGGATTTGCAATAATGTAAATTTAGTTAAGCTATTACAACCACATCGAATTTGTACGAATATTTGAATAAATAATATACAATATTTAAATATGCAATATTATGTATATGCAAGGAAAAGAAATTGTTTTATTTTTTCATATGCAAAAGAATTTTGACCTAGACCTAATAACTTAAGAAAAGGAAATTAATTCTTGAAAAATAGTTAACCCTAATTTCTAATTTAAAAGAAAATAAAGCTCTTTAAGTATTATTTTTTGTGTATTTTTGTTATTGAAAATAATAAATAATATTCTATGAAAATATTTAGCCTTTTATATGTCAAAATAAATATTTACAAGTATGAATGAAAAGGAATAAAATAATTAACCTAATTCTATTTTTTATATTTACAAGCTTATTTAAGAAAAATAATTAATATATAGTTTAATAAAAATATTTTTTCATATGAAAATAAAATAAAATAAACAAAAATGCAATATTTATCATGTTTATTATTTTTCATGATTTTATGTATTAAAGAAAATAATTAATAAAACAAAAAAGAAAATAAAACAAATAGATAAAAATGAATGAAAATAGTTGGGTCAGGGGTGTCCTGAGTAATCACGTGATATCATGTTAGAAAAAAATACACTAGGCCCAAACGTTGAAGTCCATCCTGCAAACAGCCAAAAAATGATGAAAATATATGTGAAAAAGGCAAAAAGGCAGCGCCAAGGCTCGAATCTGTGACCTTAAGCATTTTAGCACGCTGCCTTACTACTGGGGTGGCTGTACATCCGTTAGTTTAAATGAAACAAAAAAAAACATAACACAAAAAGCTTCCTTTGCCATGTACTTCGTCTTCTTCCTCTAGCTGGCCAGACCAAGCATATCTCTCTCATTTCTTCATGAAAATGGAAACTTCCAACATGAAAATGATAGTACTCTTTCCCATAATTTCAAACATGTAACTTATGGAAACTAACAATCAAAGATCAAAACAAATTTTAAAGGCCCTAATT